ACGTTTTGCGACTCCACTACGGCTGTCGCCATAGATACGCGAGGTGTCTGCTGAAGTGATAGACCAATTGAGTGTTGNGTACAATATAGAATGAGATGTTTCCTTTAGCTGCACGCTTGTGGAATGGTCTAAACACAATCGCGCCATCTTTATTACCTAGAAATGGGCATTTTGTGATGACTAGCTCCTTGTTTAGCTCGAGATCGCAGCGAGCGCTAGCTGCAGTTGATTTCGTTCGGTTGTACCACGAGGTGTATCTTAACGAAGACGACATGGAAGAGAATTTCATTAGAGGCTGGGGACCAGGCGGACAGAAAGTCAACAAAAGCAGCAACTGTGTTCAACTCATTCATAAACCCACTGGTATCGTGATTAAGGTAACTTCGGAAGTGCTTTCTTAAAATGAAGCTTTCTGAAATGAGCTTACTTGTGAGACGAAATACCTCTCAGGGGTTAACAGCATGATATTTAATGGTTAATGGGCGATTTTTATGTAGACTCTGTAGAGGAGGCCAGGGGTGGGGTTGAGTTTGGAGCAAAGGTTCAAGAGGTAGGATGAAGGCCTTTTACTAGGGTTTCTGTTGGAACATTATGAACAATTTAAATTAATTGCAAGGATTACGAAAAGTAGGATCAATGAATATAATTAAAAAAAAAAACAGGAACATTGAACATGAAATGATCAGGTGCCTGTCAATGTAAAGTTACCTTGCCCAGGCTTTCGACTTCATTACGTCTAAGAACAGACTGTCAAAGCAACAGTGATCTAGTTCATTTACCCTCAGTCTCTCCATCCAGTTGTTTCAATAAATGGGTACTGGCAATAAATGGTGGAGAGGTGGGGAAGGTAATTACATCTGCAAATGGTCAGACATTCAAGTCTTCTCAGACAAGAACTATAAACCATAGGCCCCGTCTCCTGCATCTTCAGTGTTACATGGTTAGCAGGGGGCATTAAAGAACCCACACTTGTCAAAAAGAGTAGGGCACATAGTTCCCGTTGTTGTGGTCTGGCCTTGTCTCACAGGTTGGTGCTTTACATAGGGTAAACCTTATTGCACCTTTCCCATTGGACAGAATTGTCCAAGAAGAATTACTATGACATTGTAATGCCATGGCAAACTAACATCCAGAAATACTTTAGTTGCTTCATGGTACAGAAACTGGAGTTAAGGAACATGACACTTTAATTTCTTTATATGTAGTTAAGTACAAAACTGAGTTGCTTTGGGTAACCAGTCACCAAGTAGAATTCTAACTTTACTTTACTGCTTCCATATCTTTTTTATGGACTCTCAAAAACCCTTGAAAGTAGGATCATGTATACTAAACGCATCTGTGGTCAAGTATCGATCAACACCCTTGATCAACCCTCATTCGACACTTGATCAACATCTCAATCAACACTTGATCGATGTCTCCATTGATACTCGGTCAACACTTGATTGACATCTCAGTGGACTGTCGGTCAAGAGTCACCTAATTTTCACAGACACGCCATAGAGTGTCGATTAATACATGAGTTGGTTGACACTCTCCCAAACATCAACCAACTCACTGTCGATCAAGTGTTAACGAGTGTCACTCAAGATGTTGATGGAGTATCAATCTAGTGTTGACTGAGTGTCAATCAAGATGTCGATTGAGTGTCGATCGAGATGTCATTTGAGGATCTCAATAAAGGGTATCAATCGACACTCAACCACAAAAACCTTTAGGACACATGATCCGGAACATTTTCAGCCTGTTTTGTTTAGAGTTTGCAATCATTAGTTAATGACTATTAATTTTCCATTTAAGTGCCATGAGAGTCGGTCCCTTGCAAGAAATAGAGTGATTGCTAGAGAACTCCTAAAACAGAAACTTGATTTTCTTTACAATGGANACTGTCGATCAAGTGTTGAACGAGCGTCAATCAAGATGTTGATGGAGTATCAATCTAGTGTTGACTGAGTATCAATCGAGATGTCGATTGAGTGTTGATTGAGTGTCGATCGAGATGTCATTTGAGGATCTCAATAAAGGGTATCAATCGACACTCAACCACGAATACCTTTAGGACACATTATCCAGAACATTTTCAGCCTGTTTTGTTTAGAGTTTGCAATCATTAGTAATTTTTGTTAATGACTATTAATTTTCCATTTTAAGTGCCATGAGAGTCGGTCCCTTGCAAGAAATAGAGTGATTGCTAGAGAACTCCTAAAACAGAAACTTGATTTTCTTTACAATGGAAAAGAGAGTGCTGCTGGTCAAGCAATTGCCAAGATCAAGAAAAGAAAAGCAAGTTATGCAAGGAAAAGAAGGAAACGAGAGCAAGCTGTTGCTGAAGGCTTGCAAAATATGGATGATGGACCATCTGATTCAGTTGAAGATGATGATGAAAAACCAAGTGCAGGAAGTTGAAGGCAAACACAGTGCCATTTGGTGTTTAAGAACAGAATCTGGGAATGGATTAGCAGATCAAGAGAATGTTTTCTAATTGGCAGAACAAAACCTTCTAGAGTGTGGAACCGGCCATTAATTTTAAAGACAGAGAATAAGGCAGTCATGTACGTAGACAATAATTAACTGCTTATTCATTGCAAGTTAACCCAGGCACAATGGTCATTACAATTCAGTACAAAGTAGTACATGCAAATGCAACATAAAATAATGGGCATCTATTGAAGTCCAGCAAAACAACAGAAAAAATGTTTGGGACATTTTCAGAGAAGAAGAAGATTACACTGAGAATCAATATACGGAATATTGTGAAACCAGATTTTGGTTCAGGAGTAAAATATCATGAAATGTGTAACATTCCTAGAAATAAGCCAAAACATGTCTTCACAAGAATGTTATAATATCCTTCTTTTATACCATGCCATCGAAAATACAGCAAATTAGAATATGGGAAGGCCGTTGTATACTCATCAGTATCACGTCCAACCTTCCCAACGTGAGCTGCATGCATGTTGGATTGATTGTGTTGGCCATTGTATTTTCTATGGCATAGTATAAAATAGTTATGCAACGCTCTCTCATGGTATACCATGGGATGTCCCACTTGTCACTTGTATTTTCTTGGTATACACACTCACGTAAAGGCTCTTGCGTAGACCAAGAAAATACAAGTTACTTGTGGGATATTCCATGGTATACCACTCGAATGCATTGCATAACTACAATTTATGGATATCTGTATATACTGTCTGTCTAACCTTTCACTTCAATGCCACAAATTAATGTCTCTCAACTTGGATTAAAAGACGTTTTTATTTTACAACTGCAGTACAATGATTTGAATTTAAAATAAATACACCATATATCAAAGCTGGTTATAACTTCCAAATATAAAATATACAACCTTTTAAAAGAAGAAACAAAACAATGTATTTACGACATGGCCAGGATTAATACTACTTTCAACATAAGTTGATATCACATTGGCAAGAAGTCTGTGGACAGGTTATGAATAGGCCTGTTCCGAGTTGCAATATGCTTCTGTGTCAAAACAACTCTTCATGCAAAACCCTTCATATGAAAATGTGTTCCCCCTACAGAATCATTTTTATGGAAATCAAACTCCTTTTCATGTGAAAGGTTTTGCACAAGGACTCATTTTCAAACAGAGCCACAAGGTAACTCGGAAATGGCCTATTGGGTATTGGGTAGAAAAAGAATCTGTGAGAGGAGCAAGCTGGATGTGCTCTAGGCCAAGCAAAGTTTCTTGCAAACTGATAATATAGATTTAAAATTTCTCTTCAATATATAGATATTCCTTGGAAACTACAGGCTACTTGTGTCATTACTTCTGCTTTTCAAGTTATTCTCACCGCCAAAAGCTGCATATCAACTGCAACCATTTATAAATACCTGACAGAGGTTTGAGCAGTTGCTTCCACCAGCTGGGCAGTCAACCAATAAAATTAATGGCATTCTTACAAATTATAATGTTAAACAATTTTTTATCAGCTCTGACTAACTCCCTGGGGCTTCACGGTTCCCATGCTTCTCTGACGCATCCACGCTAAAAACTAGCAGTTCAGTTTTATCTTTTCCTGTGACATCCTTCACAAGGCACATTGTCTGACTGGTTTGACTAGGTAGATAATTAAGCAGCTTTATAGAAGTGCTGGATGGATCTTATTAAACTTCTTGACAATAGCTCTCATCCACTGGTGAGTTACTGCCTGGCACATCTGTCAGTTTCAACAAGGCATTCTCTTACCAATACCCTGGCATGCATTATACCTACATGAAAATACACGGAAAGAAAATAGTTACTCCTTGCATCTGTTTGGAGGCATGGTAGCCTCATGGTTAGTGCGCTCGCCTCTGGATCGTGTGGTCCAGGTTCAAGCCCTGGCCAGGGATAATGTAATGTGTTCTTGGGCAAGACACTTTACTCTCACAGTACGTCTCTCCACCCAGGTGTATAAGTGAATACCGGGGTAACCCTGCGATGGACTAGCATCCCATCCAGTGGGGAGTAGAAATACTCCTAGTCACTTCATTCTATTGAAACTGGAGATAAGCACTGGCCTGATGAACCACTTGGCTCATATACCTTGTGCAAAAATGTTTGATCTGTGGTCCTCTGAATTCGTCTATGATCATATGGAAACCACTCTTTACATCAACCCCAGCCTTATGAAGAAGAATCAGGATAACTACTACTCATTTTACTTCTCATTTAAGAGTCAAGGATTCATAAATTATTATTACAGATTTAAGCTTTAAAATATTAATTTAACTCTACCTGATATTCATCAGCCAAAATGTCAAGGAAGAATATGAAAAACATGGGTCAGTGAAAAATCATGATGATATAGACGTCAGTAGCCTCAAACACGGCTGCGATTGAAGAATATTCTACTGAACGGTTCTTATCAATACACAGCTTATGCTTAGCTTACCTTTTTTCAATCGCTCCGCGGCGTTTTTACTTCCAGCATATGTTGGACGAATATCTTTTCCTAATTCCTCGATAACAGCTAAAAGTTCTGAGTATTTGCCGGGTGAATTTTGGCTCGATCCCGAGGAACTTGACGAAGTCTGCGGTGTCGGGGTTGAAGAAATTGCTCCTGAAAATTTTTAAAAAGATTCTTTACTGAAAAACAGACCGGATGATATGAATTTTTTAATTAATTGTTTACCTTGAGCGGGTTGTTGCGCTTTATTTTCCATTTCAAGCGAGAAAAATATCTGTTTTCTTTGCTTGATCAGGCGATAAATAATTTCCTTTGTGAATCAATATGGCGCCGTTAATCCGGGACATTGCTTTTAAAAGTGGCACCGCATGGAATGTTGGGATTGTGAACAGGGACAGGGCCTTTATATGGGAGTACACCCCGGTGACCCGGGCAAAAAGGACTCGTTTTTTGGCGTAGAGCTACAAGACCGTATGTGTGCTTAAAATTCTTTCCCTTGTTATAGGCCCTTTGGATAGGAAACAAAGAGAGCCAGTAAAGAAACTCACACGCTTTACCGGCTGAAGTCAAGACCAATCACATTCGGTCAGTCAGTCAGTCAGTCAGTCAATCAATCAGTCAGTCAGTTAGTCAATTACCCAACCAGCCACTCACCTACCTGAAATGGAGTTTGTCAGCCCGTTTGAACTCTGTGTGTCCCGCTCACTAGGTTTATAACTCTCATCCACAGGCGTGGCACACGAAAGGGGAGGTGTAATCCTCTCGATCATGTGTTCCAGGCAAGAAACAGCACCAGCTGGTTCACATGTGCCGCAAGGTTCATGACATTGAGTTAAAAAATCTTCGTAACCGTTTCCAATTGCATCATTATTATGGCTCGGCATTAACATATGGGAATCACTTAGCGTACAGGAATAACTCCCGTATGGACTTTCCACAAGCGCTGTTGAGATCTCCTTTACACGTGCAGGAACTTCTATGTTGGTTTGGCTGTGAGGTGTGGCATAAGAAAAATACGTTTGGTTGTCGTAGTTTAGTCTTTGCGAAGCTGAGTCATTGGGCGTGTCCATCATCACTGTCTGAGTAGCTTTGTAGTGTTTACCCTTTTCAGCGGAATCACTTGCAGCAAGCCGGTCGCAAAGTTCACTTATCAGGTGTAAAGAGTTCTTGCCATTTTGGGTTTCAGAAAGATCTGTTTCTGTCACTGACGTCGAATCCAACGAACCGAGTTCTGTTCCATTGAAATTCCATTGTTCTCCAAAAGGTGGGTCATTCAGTTCTTTTTCCGAAGCCAACAAATTATTTTTTGCTGAAATCCGGTGTTGGATCTTGTCAAAAATCGATTGACTTTGTAGAGGTGAAATTATTGAACAACATATTTTTGATGAAAAATTGGTGGCGTGGCTTCTAGTTCTATCCTCCCCACAACTTGATCCACCATCTTCAACATGCAATCTTTTACTGTGTGAAGGATCCTTCGTGTAGTCAGACCTTAAATCGCTATTGCCAGGGTAAACCGAAACCCAATTGTCTAAGTCTCTTAGATGCACGCTGCTAGTATTCATAGTCAGTGACAATTGCCCGACCTTTCAATCCACCCGGCACAAATGTGAGGTCTTCACGATTCAGGATGTTACTCTTGAGGACCTTGAGTTATACGCTGCTGGTCCTCCTCCAATAAGAATTGTTTTCTTTGTTTTGCTGGAGATTTTAGTTCACCATAAGACTAACGGAAGAAAAATAGAGATGATTCGCATCGAATTGTAGGTGAGCGCACTAGCGGCTTCTAATTATTACTTCATTTATTATATGGCTAATTCCGTGAGCCTGCAAGATAAACCAAATCCTGCGCTGTGATTGGCTACCCGACCGGGCAAGATCGCGCTATCTTGCCCGCTCGTGACTACCCGCTGTGTCCCGCAAGAAAATAGCGTTGTTTATCCATATAAATCCTTTAGTGACAAAGGTTTTTCGGTCAAGATGGCTGCATATTGGCCTCGTTCTTTTTTTGCGTGTTTATGGACCTCGACTCCGTCTCGGTCCATAAACACGCAGAAAAAGAACTTGGCCAATATCCAGTCTCCAGGTTCAAGCCCTGCCCGGATTAGGTGGTTTAGCATGATTCTCTTCAAGAAGGAATGACTTTGGTAGCAGTAGCATAGGTAGCATTCATTTTCTTTCCGCGAACACAAGAGGCTCCCGAGTGAGATGCGAAAGTGATTATTGCGTGACTCTCGTGTTTAGTCGCATGACTCTCGAAATGTCTGATGTGTCTCAACTCAAGAAGTTTGTTTGGAGTTAGCCAGAGTTTATAATCAGCTGATAAGAGGTTTACACAATCCATTCACGAGCTGCACCACCCGGAAAAGGTTTCCAAGAGGCAGTAAGGTTGTTTTTAATACGAAAAGATGAACGATCAATATGGTTATCATTTTAGCTTAAGAATGCGATGTCAGTGAACTCTGGTATATTAGTCGTCCTTTCAACGCATCATCGCTTTAAACCGTTTCTCATAAAGAGAAATAACTTGAACCAAAAACACAAAAAACCGAATTTAACATAGAGGAAGATAGAGTGAGCACAGGAAAAGCAAACTTACCGGTGTTCTGCAAACGGCTTGCGAGACTCACCTCAGGCAAATTTTTTCCATAAAGTTTGATGTCGATAGCTGACAAGTGATTGACAGGTGAACTTTCGTTCATTCCATTATTTAATTGATAAGTCGACACACGTCAATCAAATGGGTCACTCTGATCAGAAATATTCATCAACTAGACTCAAGCCTTTATTTCAAGGAATATTTTAATGTTCTGTAGCGTTCATGCTTCGAACAAAAACATCGTGTCAAAAACGCTTACTGTTGTATATTTTAAAACGAAGATGACATCCAAAAGCGAAAATCACACAAAATAGCTTTTCAGTGTCTTTTTAAAATCATTTTCTGGTTGAGCACCCAAGCCTGTTTGACCGGAACTGGTAACGAAAGACTGAAGTCCAAAAGTCCAAAAATTGAATAGTCAAACTTCAATCAGTACATTCAGAGAATTTCTCAATAATAACCGAGTTTCCTAAAGATATGGGTCTACTGCAGTACTTTCGAATCGATAGAATTCTTTATCATGGACGTCATTTCAGTATTCATGTTCCATGCCCCCAGTTTGAGAAATCATTTTCGAAGCAAGGCTTGCCCATCTTAATTCTGTCAAAAACATATCGACCAGAGATAGCAGAACTGTAACGTGATCTTCGTTTGATACAATACTGACAATGTACCGTTGAGTTTGTGAGGGCATCTTCATCATCATTTTCGACTTCAGGTCTTACTAGTGTCCAGATCGCCGCAACCGAGAGTGTACTGATGAACTTTGCATTGGGCGATGACAAGCATTAGTCCACGTGTACTGCGCGTGGATAACGTGTACTGCGCGTGGACTACGTGCAATACGTGACATTCGACTATCCAATCATCAAGGGACTCGACAATGATCCTATTTCGTTGACTGCCATATTTTGCGGCTGCTGAAAAGCCAGGGGCACCCAACGACCGTTTTCTCTCGAATGCTTTTGAACGCTGTTTTAGGCTATCTGGAGTGCTTTTAAAGCTCTGTAGGTTTATTTTAGGTTGCGCCAAAAAAAATTATCTCTTCGGTTATTCTAGGGGAACTTGAGTATTCTCGAATTTATTAGGGCTTTTTTGTCCATTTCCCGAAAACATTAGGTCTTATGGCCTTTCCGAAAATGATAGCTGACCTTTTTTCGGTACCCAGAAAGACATTTTAAACAATCTGAAAACAACAGACACCAAATTTCTCATATTACGAAAGTTCGAGGTGACAATTCTCTTCAGAAAATCAGAGGGGATTAAAGGCCTTCCGAACAGATAATTTACCGAAACGATCCGTTGGGTGCCCCTGAAAAGCACAGAGAGTAAACACTTTGTAGTTACTGTGTAACATGGTTGCCGCAGAAATCACTTTTTAAAATTCTTTAACTGTTCCCTGACTTTTCCTTAACAAGAATAAAATTTCCCAGACTAAATAAATATGAAATGTCAGATAGAGTATCGGCCTTACAGGCGTGCTTTCCACCCATTCATTTTAGACTGATCAGTCTTCACCTTCTGTGATCACAAATGACCCGAAATGTTTTGATTCCGCAGTGTTACAATTTCAATTTCCTCTCGCCTGTGAACAGGCTGTCTAGTCGAGGATGGGGCGAAGAGAAAGCGGGAAGAAATGGGACAGAAGAGAGAGGAGGGGAGGAGGAGGAGCCAACACCCCAACGCCACAGCCCCCACAGCCCCCACCCTATTCCCCCCCTTAGCTACTTCACTGTCAGCCAGTTCCTTCTCGACACTTCCCTGTTCATAGGCTAAATTTTCTCTGGCTCTTCCTTTCTCTTCCCCCTGACCATTTCCCGATATGTGGAAGCCCCTATTTAAGTCAATTTTACTTCACGAAACCACTTGGACTACAACTCTGTAACACCATGCGTTTTAGTTCGAGTACGTATAAATTAAATAGAATGATTTAATATGTTACAGGCAATTTACAGAGTACTTTAGTGACACATCAAAGAAAAAACAAGGCTTGTCTATCACTCTATGTTACAAATCAGTGATAAAATAATGTTCATATAACTACAGATATGTTACATTTCTCATTTTGAAGATGAAAACCACAATTCTATTTTCCTTTTTTTCCTTTGGGTTTCGGGCTTTTTGGCGGACCAGGAGCATCAGCGGAAATGCCCATTTTCTTGGCGATTTCTTCATCTTTGGCTTTTATCTGCTGGTCCACACTGGTTTTGAGCTGAAAGCACAATAATGCATACAGCTGTAAGA